TCAGAGTGTGTATTGGTAAATGTCTTCAGATATCTCTAATTCCAAACCAGCCTGCAAGGAATTCTTTTTTATTCTTCCTGTTCTACATGATGTTTATTTTTACCTCTTCTTCCATAGTGAAACTCTGCAGCTTTCTTCTTTAAGTTCTGATTACATGAAGTTATTTGTATGTATGGGTGGATATGCTCACCACAGTGCATGTGTGGAGATCAGACACAAAACATGCAGGAATCACTTCTCTCCTCCCATCGTGTGGGCTCCTGGGATCAAACTCAGCTCACCAAGCTTAACAGAAAGAAACAGCCTACACACACCAGTCCGAAATGCTGTGACTCCCAAACATCCGCATACTTATTTATTTTGTTCTATAATACACATGGAGACATCTCACTCAGATTCTACTGCACGTCTCTGCTGTGAAGAGCGCGGTTTTCTAAAGGATACAGTGTTTGCTAGCCAGTTTGAATGTGCAGAGTCTAAAGGGCAAAGCCCAGCAAGGCTGCCACAGGTCTGGCTTTCTCCTGCTTCCGTCTACCCTGTTTCTCCCCATACCCTCTTGGGAAGTAACTCATTTTATTGTTTTTGTTTGTTTGTTTGTTTTCTTTTTTCCTCTTTCCTCAAAAACAATTAATGAATAAGCAGAAAATGCAAGCACCACTTTCTAAGCAAAAGAGAATATTCTGCATAAACCTTTGTGTTTTGCCTTTGCTGAATGAATCCTCTATGTTATTTCAGTGGACTTTCTTGGACTTGCTACCAGTCAGCAGAGGGTTCTTTTGCTCTGTTTTGAATGGCAGCAGATCAGCACTCACCAGCTAATCCTGGGAGCCCTGGCAGCCATTCCTGCTGCTCAACTTACAGCCACTACCTAGAGCTTTTCCAGCTGCTGGGGCCAGTTGTTTTGTAAAGCCCTCTGCCTTGTGGCGCTCCTCTCCCATAGCTTCTTGCCATCTTGGCACTTCCCTCGGCCTTGTTTCAGGTCTTTGTATACTCTGTTCCCTATCTGTTGTCTGAGACTACAGGCCCCAGGAGTTGTCCGTTTATACTATCACAAGCTTCGCCTTGTCACCCATGATAAAGGACCGCAGTAGGCAATGACACCTCCAGAAGAAATTCTTGAGGTCTTGACTACCACACAAGACCAGTGTGGGGTGGAGAGGCAGCGTAGAAGAGGGGGGTCTCCTTAACTGACCCCAGGAGATTGAGCGGAGGGCTGGTCGTATATCCAGCCACACACGCACACAGCCTTCTGTTTGCTAACCACAACATTTTTGCACAGTCATGCCAGTCTGGATAGGCATCCTCTGCGTGCAGCCATGGGTGTGGGCATCTGGAACAGCTATCACAGTAGAAATAATATCTTCGAGGCTTACTAGTTTGTGGGGTAACAACTGAAACAGCCTCCTGACTTTTCCTTTAGGAAAAAAAAAAGCAGTGGTTTCTGAGTGGCCAGAGCAGCTGGGTATGGATTGGATTCTCCTCCATTGGCGCTGGCGGTGTTGAACTTCACTGAATAGTCATGTCCGAATTCTTCTTTAGTAATTTCATACACCCATGTACTATACTTTGACGATGGCTCTCCATTATTCTTTCTTGCCTGCCTTGCACTGGACTGTTTCTTTATGACAAATCCCCTTCTACTATGGTGCTTTTGATCTACCACATCTGATTAAGGCTGCCTGCACACACAGGTAGTGTTTATTTGAGCAAAGGCAACTTGCCAATGGCTTCACCACCCAGGACCGTGATCCCCCTTTGCCCTATAATCTTTTAATCCATCTCCTCAGAGATGGATATGTGTGCCCCTCCCTCACCCCTGATGGAAAGGTGTCTGTCTTGAACAGGTCTTCTCCAGGTAGCCACTGTTGTTGTAAGTGCACGGATGGTAGAACAAGGTCATGGCCTCCAGTTCTTACAGTGTCCCCACTTCACTCTTCTGTAGCATCCCAAAGTGTTGGGTGGAGCGATATAGATGCCACATTTAAAGCCGAGCTCTCAGTAGATACTTATTCTCAGCACTTTGACAAGTTATAGTCTCTGCATTAACTGGTGCATTGCAAACAGAGGCTAATAGCAACACTAATCTATGGGTATTAACATAAATATTTACAGAGATGCTTGACACCCTGTTCATTTAGCAAAACTACAGCCACACACACACACACACACACACACACACACACACACACACACACACACAAATATACATCCCTGGACCACAACTATTGAAGTGAGGATAGCTCTCTTGATCTAGGAAAGGGTAGTAGTTAATGTCAGTGGGAATTTTGAGTCAGAATAACAAGAGATTTGTTATCAAATGTAAACAGCGGTTATAAAGATACATAAAGTTAAGCAGTAAAGCTATGGTGGGGCAGGTAACTATGATATATGTCCTCAAAATGGGTACATAAACCGTTAAGTACTTGCTTTGGGAGTTCTAACACATATTAAGGATGGCACTTCAGCTATGAATGGAATATTATTTAGGAGGCATACTAGACACTACATTAACTTTTAAAACAGTTAGATTACATAATCCACTGAAGAGAACTCAGTTAAGTAAATTTAGTAGTAAGTGAAATCATCCACATGCTGGATAGCAATGTTGGTAATTCTACCAGCAACTCCCAACTTGAGTACAATTGAAATTTTGAACTGGGTAGTGTTTTCTGGGGGCAAGGCAACAGGCTGCTCTGTGTGTTCATACTTAGCAATACCCTGGACCGTTCCCAGACATATAAAAAGCAGCTCCCCTTGTCATGGCAACCAAAAAGTCTCCAGAAATCGCCACCCATCTCCAGGAATAGTTGTAAAATCACCCTGGTTTAAAACCATTGGTCTCTGACTCCTCAGCTAGAAGCATAGAACCCCAGAATAAATTGCAAAAGATAATTTTGGAAATACTGTCTATATTTTTTATATATAAAAAAAGAAAAAATCATTTAGAGAAGCTACAAAATTAAAACTGAAGGACATGTCAAAAATGATACAGTGTGGAAGCTATTTACTTTCCATAGAATGAGAGTCGCCAAGAAGAGACCAGAAGAGCTGAGTTAATGCCTGAGCACCAGCTTCCTGGTAGTCAAAGCTCTTATCACAAAGGCCATTCTTTCAGGCTGACGATGTACAGTGTGGGTGAAAAGCAAAGCTACTGTCTCACCTTAGATGCACATAGCTGTGGCTCCACCATTCTGCTTCTGTTGCTGCGTCCTATGGAAATCACAAGACTGAAGATTTTCATTGCAATACTATTTACAGTTGCTAAATATAGGAAAATCTCCTGTTTTTCTAACAAGAAGGGAACTGGTCAGAACAAAAGCCCATCTTTGTGTAATAAATATATATTAGATAATTGTTAATAGTAGTGACGTATGTATGCAGGGGGAAATGGAGAGGTTATAGTTGAAAACTCAGGAGTATGGCTTTACATATTGTAGATGGAACATTTTCGCCATGTAGCCCAGTCTCACTTGGACCGGTTTCTCTCTACCCACTGGGTCCCCAAAGCTGCTTATAAGGTAACTGCTCAGAGATTTAATACATATTTATAATTGTTTGGCTAATGGCTTAGGCTCCTTACTGGCTAGCTCTCTCTTAAAATACTAACACATCTCTATTAATCTATGTATCTCCACATGGTTGTGGCTTACCAGTGATGCCCTTGCATCTTGCTTCTCCAGTGGCTACATGGCATCTCCTTGAACTGTCTTCCTTCTCTCGGTCCTTTTGTTTGGATTTCCTGCCTACCTAAATTCTGCTCGTCCATTGGTCAAAACAGCTTTATTCATCAACCAATAAAAGCAACTGATTTGTAGCATGCAGAGGACATCCCACATCATATACCTCTGAGATAACTGGTACATGCCATGTCTTTTTTACATTTGTGTAAGATTTTTGACAGATGATATGAAGTAGGAAGATAATATGTTTGTATTTTTATTTTTTATATTTCTTCTACTGAACATGAATACTTTGCATAGTAATTTTTAAAAGAAGAAATGAAGCATTTTAGGGATTTGGTATGTAGCTTAGTGGTAGACCACTTGTCTAGCTTGCTCAAAGCCCAGGTTCAATATCTAGCAACATACACAAATACTTTTAATTCATTGTCTCAGTTCCAAATTTTGAAAACTTGTTAACTAGGAAATTTTTAAAAGGCAAAACTTTGGTAAAATTGCAAATAGCAAAAAGAAATGTTTTTCTACAGTGTTTATGGAAGTGTTATAGTGGCAAAAAGATAATGTTAATATTCCAAAATAATTATCTACCAAGTAGATATCTCTGTTTATAGGGGTAATGCTATTTTAATAATCTGATGTAAAACCAGGAGTGGTAGCACAGAATTTAATCTGGACACTTGGGAACTAGAGGCAGGAGGTGGCCTCTACTATCTGGTGAGTTTAAGGCCAGCCAGCCCCAGCTATATGAGGCCATATCTCAAAAAGACCAAGATATAAAAACGTTAATAAGCTAAATAAAGTCTAATTTGATATTGTCTTACATCAAGAGTGTTTCCTAAGCTGAGGAGCTATTGATAGATAATTAATGGCTGTTGGGGGAGGGGGAGCCATCTTTCTTCAGGAGTATGGCCACTGATAAATCAAACCGTGTGTGTTCCAGAAAATAACCCCACACCCATTCACAAACGAGTAAACCCAGTTAACTCAGTGGATTATTTTAAAAACTAAAACGATGATAAAGTAGGAGAGAACATATGAAGAGGACAGGGGCTGAGAGAGGAAAACTGGGGTGATTCTGATCAAACTACATTATGGACACATATGAAACTGTCAGAGGACAAATAAAAACAGTCATTTTAAAACAAAGCTTTCGGCAGCATTCACCAAACTAAAATATATGTGACGAATTGAAAAATGTGGCTGCTGTCAGCCACGTAAATAAAAATGAATCGTGCACACTTACAATTAAAGTGAAGCAGAGCATTGGCCTGTGTGTGTGTTTGTCTTCACTAACGTGGAATTCGGTTTATCGTGTCATAGGTTGCCTCGGGGGAATGCAATGAAGACACCGAGGTTTACAACATCACCCTGTGTACCGGGGATGAACTCACCCTGATGGGGCAGGCAGAAATCCTTTATGCAAAGACCTTCAAGGAGAAGTCAAGACTCAACACAATTTTCAAAAAGATTGGGAAGCTCAACTCCATCAGCAAGCTGGGAAAAGGCAAAATGCCCTGCCTCATTTGCATGAACCACCGGACCAATGAAAGTATCAGCCTTCCGTTCCAATGCAAGGGCAGGTTTAGCACCCGAAGTCCCCTGGAACTTCAGATGCAGGAAGGAGAGCACACCATCCGAAACATCGTGGAGAAGACGAGGCTCCCCGTGAATGTGACAGTGCCCAGCCCCCCACCCAGAAACCCTTATGACCTCCACTTCATCCGAGAGGGCCACCGCTACAAGTTTGTGAACATTCAGACCAAGACGGTGGTGGTTTGCTGTGTTCTCCGGAACAACAAGATCCTCCCCATGCACTTCCCTTTGCACTTGACTGTCCCCAAGTTCAGCCTCCCGGAACACCTGGTGAAGGGGGAGGTGTGGCCGGAAACCCTAGTCCATCACTGGCTTGGTATCTGCCAAGAGCAGTTTGACATTGATGAGTATTCACGGGCTGTTCGAGACGTGAAAACGGACTGGAATGAAGACTGCAAAAGCCCCAAAAAGGGCCGTTGCTCTGGCCACAGCCATTTACCCAATTCCCTCAGCTATGCCAGAGATGAGCTCACCCAGTCCTTCCATCGGCTCTCGGTCTGTGTGTATGGCAACAATCTTCATGGCAACAGTGAGGTGAACCTCCATGGCTGCAGGGACCTTGGGGGAGAGTGGGCCCCTTTTCCCCATGACATCCTTCCCTACCAAGACTCTGGTGACAGTGGGAGCGACTACCTTTTCCCAGAAGCTACCGAAGAGTCATCGGGCATCCCAGGGAAGTCAGAAGTTCCCTATGAGGAGCTGTGGCTGGAGGAAGGCAAGCCCAGCCACCAGCCTCTCACTCGCTCGCTCAGTGAGAAGAGCAGGTGTGACCCCTTGAGAGGCTCCACGCAATCCAAATGTGCAACTTCCTCTCTTCCTGCCCCTGCCGCCCTGGGAGCCACCACGAAGTCTTCAGAAATCACCCTACCTCCACCTCCAGTGCCTCCCAAATCCGAAGCCGTAAGTCACTTCTGTGTGAACGGTGTGACAGTCTTTCTGTCTGCCTAGTCGTCAACTCATTTGTTTGTTTAAAAGAAAAAAAGTTCCCAATTAAACATCGTTGGGATGAATAAGTGTACTTGATTTGAAGTGGAATATGGGTGCTAGCCCGTGGGCAGGTGATAGGCTTGTACTATGTTAGGTGAGAAACTCTGAGAGCTTCTAACAGCGGATTTTTAAACTTAACTTGTTTTTGCCTAGCAAACAAATTACAGGGAAGAGACAGGGGGTGTTGGGTGGCCAGGAAAGGGGCAGTCATGACAGGTATAAGTGACAGTGTCTAAATTGTAGCAGCTGTCAGTGATGGGTGACCAGAAGAAACGAGGTTCAGAGTATGCTCTGTGGGTAGACCAGCAATATTCTCAGACAAAGTGGGTGTGGAGGGAGGAGAGAAGAGTAAGCCAGAGAAACTGGATCCTTCACCTGGTAGAGACCAGTGCTGTATCTAAAGGGATAGTGCATCCTCTGTGCTTGAGACAGGAAGACGGAGAAACGGGAAGCCTTAGTATCTCCAGAAACGCTCTCTTGTATCCCTGGAGTTATACTGAGGTCAGAACGTGGGGGTGGTCTCAGATGTACCCGTGCCACAGAGCCAAGTGCCGTGTAGTTCTCCCTATATGCAGAGTGTAATTCAGGGCTTGTGGGGTGCCTGCCAAGTTACAGTGTAAAAGTTGGTTCAGGAGCTGGGGTGGTAACTTCAGTGCTGAAGCCCATACTTAGCATGCATGTGGCTCTGGGTTTAATCCCCAGCATCCCCCAATCAAACGTCAGTCCACACAGGAGGAAGAACCCTGCTTGTGTCTTTTGACCACCTTCCTTGTTCACTTTGCATCTTCTTCTCTCTGGAGGAGGAAGCCACAGAGGCACCAATGATCACTCACTGCTGGTAACCCCAGCTCCAGGAGTTAACTTTTTCGAGCCTACACATACACACACACACACACACACACACACACACACACACACACGCACGCACGCACACACACACACACACAAAATAATCTTTTTTGGTTTCTTTTTAATGTATTTTTTTAAAAACAGAAATGAAAAGGCACTCCTTCCCACACACTTTCCCCCATTAACTGGTCTTTGAACATCTCACTGAGACCCTAGAGCTGAAATCCGCTTTCAAATCTAAGAAGTTACTGTGACAGCTGCTAGAAATACCAGTACTGTGGCCCTGTGTACTGTTCAGTTTTAGAAGAACATAACAAATGAAGAGTTGCTGAGGCCTAAGTTCAAAGATGAGGAAAGTCGAAGAGACAGATAGCATGTGAGAGCACAAAGAGAAACTTCTAGAGGGAGATGAATGAGAGAAACCTCCGAATATATAATGGCATTTAAATGCCATCAAAGAATATGCATGAATTAGAAGAGCAGAGAAGCCAGGCAGTGATGGCGCATGCCTTTAATCCCAGCTCTCAGAAGGCAGAGGCAGTGGATCTCTGTGAGTTCAAGGCCAGTCTAGTCTACAGAGCAAGTTCCAAGATAACTGAAGTTACACATAGAAACCCTGTCTCAAAAAAAAAAAAAAAAAAAAAAAAAACTTAAAAATTAAAAAAGAAGACTAGAGGAGAGATTGGACGACGGAGGGGCATCCCAGAAAGCAATTGTGAAGATGTGGATGGTGAGATGGCCTAAGTAATCAAGTTCTGTAGAATTTTTTTGGATGGGTTGAGTAGGGTGTATGAAGGGCATTCTAAAAGGTTGGAGCCAGCATGTGGACAGCCTGAGGATTGACACTAGATCAATCTGATTGGCTGTCCACAAAGGGTCCTTGCTGATACAGAGGCTTCCCAAGAGAGGATTCCCCTCTCTGGCTTCCCAGATACTGTATGTGCTATGCTTCTACAGAACCTTTCAGAGACCTTCAGGCATGATTCAGAGACATAACCGTACTCAGTAGGAGACTCTATTTGCAGAATTCGTGATAACTTGAGATCCTCAAACCTTATATTCATGTCAGAGTTTCCCTAAGGGTATTCAATAAGTAAATAAGTAAAAACAAGTACAGGCCAACCTTCCTAGCAAGCACTAGACACCTTCAAATGTCAGAGCTCAGTAATATATTTGATGTGGCTTCATGATCAGTATTGATCTGTTTCAAGGACATGACTACCTGAGTTTTTCCTGCTGAACTTTGATCCTGCCTGGCTTGCAGTGGCTCAAATGTCTGTTGATTGGCTGGTGAGCTCGTGAAGACAATCACACCCAGGGTTACTTATGCAGCCAAATCTAGAGTTAGAAACTAACATTGCTTAGTTTTTATTACTTTTGCTGTTTTGTGGCTAGTGACAGATGAACAGGAATCGATATTAAGAAGCACCATCGTGACAGACTAGAGCCTTGCCTACTAAGGAAGATTGAGAGCATTTTTGGGAGGTGGGGGGTTGGTGTTGTTTTGTCTCGTTTCATGTTTCAGTGTATTGCCCCAAATCCTATGCTTCCTGTCATCAACTTTGGTTATCTCAGAATTTCTTCTTACCCGATGGATGAGTACGTTTCATAGGCGTTCATGGAGGGGAGCCTTAGAGGTCATTTGGTTCATCCCTGAGGTTGAGTGGGTTCCTAGGGTCTTTTGACAAGAAGACAGGTCAGTTTGCAGGATTGCATTGTGACTCTGGTGGGCACTGCAGCTGACTTCCTCAGAGGTCACTGGAATGTAACTGATCAGGGGTCTTTGGAATTTGTAAACCAGATAGCTAACAAGATATTTTTCATTCATGTACACGATTTCTATAAAGTGCAACTTCTGTTTCATCAACCTGTTTTAAATCGTTTGCATAAGATTTGGCAGTATTTTTATAATGATTTAAGTATCTTAATGGTACTTACAGTAATTTAGAAAGAAAAATGACTATGCTGTCATCCTATCTTGACCTTGGTTATAACAGAAAAAAAAAAAAAAACATCAGACTTAAATTTGAAACTAAAAGCAAATGTCACAGAAAAAGACCTAGATCTCTAGTCCATGCTGTAATTTCTCACGACAATGAATCTTTTCTCAGCATGCCCAGTGTTTATAAAACACAGTAAACATAAAGGATTTGTTATAAACACCTGAAAAGCTTTTACTTTGTAAGGAAAGTCTTCATACTTTAAATGAAGCCATCTTTTTTTTTTATTGGTTCTGTAACCATGAAATGAATTTTCCATTTTTAGTGTGTGAGGGGAAACCAGAGACTATCGTGACTGTCAGATGTGGCTTTAGCTTATAATTTTCAGACGGGAGCTTTAATGGGGCATAAATTCAAGTGCTCCCATAGAGTTAAATCAGAGCTCTGCCCTGGATAGTTAGAGTGCTGGGAGAGTGACGGCCTTGTGTCTAGCACTAACGTGGTAGTGAGCTCCCCACTACAGCTATATTAGTTATTGATCTTATCACCGTCACCAAAGAAATGTGACAGAAGCAGCCTGCGGGAAGCATCATCTGAACTAATGGTTTTGAAGGACCTGCGGCATGGTGAAAAGGCAGGGCGACTGATGGGGCTCATTTGTGGCAGGGAAAGTATGCAGCAGCTACCATACTGGAGCCAGACAGGAAGCAGAGAGAGTGACAGGAAGCACCCACCTCCAATTAGCAACCTCTTCCAACTAAGCCCGGCCTCCTGAAGGTTCCATACCATCCCACGAGGGCTCCATCAGCTGGAGACAGGTCTCACTTAAACCATAAGCAAAGGCAGCAGAGCACTTATCTGGGAAGTTGACCATCCCTGCAGGAACCGCTAAGGCAGTAGACCAGTCAAAGAGTGTGTGCCACAGAAAGCAAGCAAGTTGCCTTGTCACTGCAGCCGTGGTGAGGTCTTGTAGTAAGGTGCCATACATGGTGCCCATCTGCTACCCATTGCTGCTAAGTTGTGACATTGCTGTGCTTTTTCTCTAGTGGATTGTGATGGCCTTTGCTCCCTTGTGTGAACATGAGAATAAATCTTTCCCCCTCGACAGTCATGGTCACTTAGAATTACACTGTAACCCTTTTGCTTCTTTGCAAAGATGGTATCACAGGGGTTTTTAACAACATGCTACCTATCACTCACCTCTCTGGAGCAGAAGACTCCTCTTGATAGGAGTGTCTGAAGGAAAAGCAAACAGGAACTGGTGTCTAGGGAGGAAGGGAATCTGTCACTTTTATCCCTTAGAACTTGTACAGCAGAGTCCAAGTTAAGAAACAAGTGAAGCTCACTGGCAGGCCATTGTCACTCTCAGGGTAGATCATCAGACCCAGTCGGGCCTGAGAGCCCCATGTAGACAGGCATCTACACTCCATTATCTACACTCCATTTAGCAGCTTTACACTTGGGCAAGACATGGAGCCTTCCTGAGTCATTTCCTGTGGGATGATAAGTTACTCGCTGTGTTATTGTGTTACACAAAGGACTTGGCATGTCTCCTTAGCACTTTGTAAACATTCACAGTGAAGAGTAGCAATAATTGAATGTAGGATGGATTCCAGCTTACAGCCAGATAGAAGGTGGTATTGCCCTTTCAGACAGACAGGATGCCCTGGCAGCTCCTGAGAGGCGGGTGTGAGGGTGAAGAATGAAGTCACTCATCATTAGTAGGTGGGAAGCTCACCATCAGTAATGCCCTTAAAGAAACGCACCACAGTGAGTCCTGGAAGATGAGTGTAAAGCTGAGGTTCTTCCCCCCACTCCACACACACACACACACACACACACACACACACACACACACACACCATCAGTCCTTGACGAATGGAGCGGGGAAGGGTCAGGAGGTTGGACATGGACATATGTGCCCTCACAACTCCATCCAGAGAGGCAGTTCAACACCCAGAGGGGCTGCTCCCCCTCATACAAGAGCACATTTGATTTTGCAGCCAGAATGGTGTTTAAACTGCCTTTGAAAATACTTATTTCACAGGGTGAGTGTCTATCCTAGTTACCTGGCAATGGAGGGGGTCATCAAAACTTTGTGAGACCATAAACCAAACAGTGTCA